AATGTGATTTACTATCCAGAAATCATAGCGTACGTTACAGAAATATATATATATTCCTTCAAACCTATCACTTTCTGCATAGCTAAAAAGTTAAAATACAAGGAATGCTACCGCATTTTTGTGCATTTTCTTATGCTAATGAATTGATTTGCGTTTTCTGCCTCCTAATTTTAGCGTTATTTTTGATCTGCACGCCTTTTTAGCTCTCATACATTAACTCAAACAGGTTTTTACGGTTCATTTGTGGGCTTACTGTCGACAGTGTGCGAAAACATAAACCCCAGTTATACTCCAAGTAACGCGAAATACACCATCCCAGTAGCTAAAAGAAGAACATGCACAAGTATTATTACAATTATTGTATTTTCACATGTGAATCAAAGCTATGCTAATGAAACTAAACAATGTTATCTGATATGCACATCATATATTTGAGACATTTAGTGTCACGGATGATCATCCGAGAAACTAAATTGCTGAATTTACATCTAGTAAGCGTTTTCAGATAAACTCTTACATGCATGCAATTGTATTATTTTTCGTTCAACAAATTTAAGAAATATACTATAAGGGAGAGTTTTATTTTTGACTGCATTTCTACGAAGAGCAAACTGAAATATTAAAAACATTTGCACCCAACTAGGTGCAGCGATTATTCCTTAAAATTTTCAAAATATTGCCCATGAAGGTATAAAAAATAGCTTACTTATACATGTAGAGAGAAAAAATATATTTTAAATAGTCCATGGCAGGTGTAAATTCTGTAAATTCTAAGGCATAGAACATCTTTTCAAATTTGGCCCTGTTTAAAGCCTTATTTCCCATCCAGACAATTAATTCAGGGCCGCAAGAAAATTTTTAATAACCTAGTTCTTTCATTATTCAAAATATTTAATTTCTACTTAAGGGCCATCGTTAGCGAAGGAATGATCATAACCGAACCGGCATTAATTGCACTGGCTAATAGAGAGGAAGCCAATCGCAACGGTAAAATGTCGGTTAGTTGCATCAATTTTATAATAATCAATATAGACTATAATCTTTATTCGAGACAAAAATCAGCGTAATCAGGAAATATCTGGATACATCGACTATGCTCATCGTCTCAAAACGGAGGACTTCGCCGGCTACTTTCTTCAAAAGAAGCGTCTGCTTCCCAGAATTGGTGACTTGAGGTATCACTTCCCGACTAAATGGCCTTTTATTGGATCAAAACAACAATCAAATAAAAAGATTTAACTATTAATAATGTAGACGTTTTCGGCTCCAGACAATAACAGACTAGCTATTGAATAGTTAGTTTTATTTAAAACCCACACTTGGAAATTTTTTTAAAATCGTTAAAGCTCCAAACTTTTAAAATTTCGCAAATATTCCCACGCTTGATTTGAAAAGTCTAATTGGTAAACACAGTGTTTTCAACAAATTATCATCAGGCCACACATTTGCAACTTAGCTAATTGCTTCATATCTGCGTTTTCGAGACATGTCATGTAGTGAAACCTGTGTATACATCAACTAAATCCAACAGGTCATACATTTTCTCAGTTGATTTCGTCTAAAAATTCGGGAATAACAGTAATAAAAGCATTAAATAAATGTATTGACGACGTCTTTCATACACACTGACAGATAGTGAAATATGAATTAAACGCTTTTTACATACTTGGTGACGTAAGTAGAGGGGCCCTGTTGAGCTTAACCGAGTGCTGTAGATTTAACATGACATGAGAATGCTCCAACAAATTAACTCAAATTAGTAAAATCCCCCATTTGACTATGCAGTAACGACAACGTCTAGTATAAGTGGTACCATAATGAAACTTTTTCCTGCCAAATATTGCGTTTTTGAATTTTTGGTGGATTACGTTGCTATTGTATGTGCATGTTCAATAAAAACTCATGTTGTTTAGTAAGCTGAGAACTCTCTTACTGAACCAAAAAGGCCAAATGGGACACGATTATGAGGAATCCTTCTTTTGCAAAATGCCTTTACCGCAATAAAAAAACTGACGTACATTCACCTTCAACAGTAGTCTAAAACAGAACCATCGATTTTCTGGAATAAAGTTGTACTAGGCAAAATTGATGAAAAGCTGTGGCTCGGGAAGCTGGCCGTCAGAAATATAGTTTGCGTCTCATTTTGAATGTAGATCAGACCTTATTGGATTAGTATGATGTATTTTAATTTCGCCGATATTCATATTTACTTACGGTATTCGTGCCACTTCAATTACTACGTTTTATTTCACCAAAGGTCGTCCTAAAATTCAGAAGTTACTGGTCTTATTAAAACT